GATTTTTCTGAAAAACGTTGATTTCAGGCACAAAAAAATGGAAATTTTCAGTTACCACGGACTCTTAAGCTAAGGAAGTAACCAATATTTGGCGGCCATTTTCTCACTAATTTTTCCTCTAAAAACAGGTGACCCCCACCTCCTTCTTTCGCAAATATCTCGACTTGTATTCAAGATAAATGGATATTTTTGTCACCCAAATAAAGACAAATGAACAAGCTTTAAGATGATACCAATATCTCTATATGCCCAAAAACTGACGAGAGCCTGATTCCACCACGCTGCCTCACATAAGGTGGACAAAATTACATCCCACTCGTGATCTCTAATTATGGCACGCTGCCACAACACTAGGGCGCTTCATGAACACTACTACGAGTTCAATAACCCATTACATGCCGACCTAAAATCTCCGTAAATCTCATGAAATGAGGTCCGTTGAATGGGCCTCCAGTAGACGTCTATATTAATCGTCGGTGTCGCAAGCAAATCCATCTCAGTCCGTGTGTGTACTTTCTAACCACAGACGAAAGTCGTTGTTGTGCAGTTTCTCCTACCAGGAACCACGAAAGGCAATACAATTATTATAAGGCTTGATCATAGCAGTAAACTGCATTTTAGTGATGTTAAAAGTTGTTTTTTAGTTGAATTTTGGAAGGGTGTAAAAATCGAACGTTTCCAAAATGTGGACTTAGGTGGATTGCTAGCGACGGTGACCATATGACCGACCACCACGCAATCAGACGTTTGGTGGTCACCCTTTGACCTTCACAGCGCATGATTCATTTCCCTTGGACGCCAGGAAGCATTAAAAGCCCGAGTGACCAGTGTCCGGCCGCTTATTCTTATTAGCGCACGTGAACTGAGTGAGTCGGCTCTGGACTTCCGTGGGGGTGACCTTTGAACTCAAACCTTTGGGCTTACAGCATTACCCACCTTAACACCTCAGTAATCAGCCTTGATCATAAGTCAGACACTCTCCAGCTACTGACCGCCATGGGGGGAAGGCGTGAAGGCATTTGCATAAGTGCTGTGTAATTTGCATCCAAATTATGTCTCTCGCATCCGACTCCCGATCCGAGACGCCAGCGCTATCGAATTTCTATGGGCAAGCTTCAAAACTAATTTGGGGACGTGGGGCCATAAAACGGAGGCTGGCCATCGCTGCTACGTAGGGTGAGTGGGTGGGGGTAGGGGTCGGATATTATAAGATCGTGTCGGTGCGTTCAATAGACGGGCGCTGGTGGTTGGTTCCAATGGTAGGCACTACTGCTGAACGCATTGAGGAAAGTCAATCGCGTCGTTTCAGCAGGTTTACTATGGAAGCAAGTCTTCTGGCTATATGTGAGGCAGCGTGGTGGAATCAGGCTCTCGACAAAATAATCAAAGTGTAGAAACTTGCATTTTTCCACAGGTTTGTGAATTTTTTTCAAATTTTTACTTTTTTGCTCCACACCTTTCATGCCCATTAAAGAACCCATTTCTGTGTGGATTTTTCTGAAAAACGTTAATTAAAGGCACAAAAAATGTAAATTTTCAGTTACCATCGACTCTTAAGCTAAGGAAATTATAACTAGTCTTTGTCTCACTAATCTTACCTCTGAAAACAGGTGACCCCCACCCCCTTCATTCGCAAATATCTCGACTTGTATTCAAGACAAATTGATATTTGTTTCACCCAAATAAAGACAAGTGAACAAGCTATAAGATGATACCAATAACTCTACATGCCCAAAAATTGACGAGAGCCTGATTCCCCCACGCTGCCTCACATACAGCCCTTGGGGTGCCGGGCGGGCAAGGGGTCCATAAATATGTGTAAAAGAACTTACGTAAACACACACACCTACATTCAAATACAATACATATATTATAT